TTTTTTTTTTTTTTTTTTTTTTTTTTTTTTTTTTTCAGATTTTATTTTTTATTTATTTATTTGACAGTCAGAGATCACAAGTAGGCAGAGAGGCAGGCAGAGAGAGGGGAGAAAGCAGGCTCCTTGCTGAGCAGAGAGCCCGATGCGGGGCTCGATCCCAGGACCCTGAGATCATGACCCGAGCCGAAGGCAGAGGCTTAACCCACTGAGCCACCTAGGCGCCCTTGTCTTTTTTTATTATAGCCATCCGGGTGGGTGTGAAGGGGTAGCTCATTGTGGTTTTGATTTGCATTTCCCTGATGGCTAATGATGGTGAGCATCTTTTCATGTGCTTATTAGCCATGTATATATTTTCTTTGGAAAAATGTTTATTCAGAGCCATGCCATTTTTTAATGACATGGAAGAAACATATTTTTTATCAAAATACAAGGAATCCCTTACAGAGCTGGGGAACAAATTGGGAATGAGCGTGGGATTCAGTATAAGTCATCAGTCAGTATGACTCTTCTAGATGCCTTCTTAATTGAGGTCCCTAGTCTAAATTTACATGCAAAATTCTGTGAATTGTTTATTTTTCTGGGGAGATGGTCCATGGCTTTCATTAGGTTTTCAAAAAGGTCCATTTATATTTACTGGAAACTGAAGGCCAGGTAAAGAGTAGACCATACCATTTTGGAGCTCACCCTCTTCAGTTCTGTGTTCCCAGTGGAAAGTCTGGCTAGAACCATTAATTTTGTGAATTCTCTTTATGTTTTTTCTTTTCGTTTTTCTTTTTTTTTTTTTTTTTACGTTTTTTCTTTTTAAAATTTTCTTTATTTATTTGTGGGGCGCCTGGGTGGCTCAGATGGTTAAGTGTTGGCCTTCTGCTCAGGTCATGATCTCAGGGTCCTGGGATCGAGTCCCACATCTGGCTCTCTGCTCAGTGGAGAGCCTGTTTTCCCCTCTCTCTCTGCCTGCCTCTCTGCCTACATGTGATCTCCCTCTCTCTGTGTCAAATAAATAAATTTTGTAAAACATCTTCTTAAAAAAAGATTTTATTTATTTGAGAAAGAGAGAGAATGAGAGAGAGAGAGAGAGAGCATGAGGGGGTGAGGGTCAGGGGGAGAAGCAGGAAGCCTGATGTGCAACTCGATCCCAGGACTCCAGAATCATGACCTGAGCTGAAGGCAGTTGCTCAACCAACTGAGCCACCCAGGTGCCCTAACAAATTCTCTCTACTTAAACGACTAAAGAAGTGCCAAAGAAGCTTCCTAAGAGATTGAGCAGAAAGAGAGAAAATCAGGGGGAATTACTGTATTTCGAGGGATCCACCATTGAGGAGCTGGGTTGGGGTCAGAGACAGAAGAACCACTGATGCCAAAAGAAGAGGAGGAAGATATAGCTAAGAGAGTGTGGCAAGAAGGAAATGTGCAGATGGAAGGGGTGTTGGTAGCACATGGAGATCAAGAGAGTTGAGGAATGAGAAAAAGTCACTGGACTGTGGCTCTGGTGACTCGAGAACAACTTCACTAGTGCACAGAGGTGGGCCTGAGACTGGGTGATACAGAAGGAAGTGTGTCAGAAGGATGTAAAGTTGTTCATAATACCCTCTTATCTTTTAAAGTCTGCAGGATATGTGGTGATATCCCTTTTTTTAATTTCTCTTAATACTATGCATGCCTTCTCCCTTTGTTTCTTTTTTTCCCCAAGCTCTATTGAGATAGAAGAGTTCAGACTAGGCAAAACACAGTACTAGTCCTTAGAAAACTTGTAGTCTGATGTCAGGGTGAGATGTATGAACAGGTAGTTATCATGCAATGGTAGAGTAAGTGTTGTGTTTGAGATATGTAGGTACGAAGGGCCGTCACAGAACAGACTGCCTCATATAGTCAAGGAGGGCTTCATGGGGTAGGTAGGTGGGGTGACATTCCATCTCTGCATCCATCCATCCAAGCACCCATACATTCAGTCATCCATACATCCGTGTATGCATATATCCATCCTTCTGGTCATTCATTTAACAAACATTTGGTGATCATCTTTCTGTGTAAAACCCTGTGCTAGGTGCCAGAGCTATGGCTGGGTCTTGAAGGATGAGAAGAAGATAAGATGGGACAGGATCTCTGGTCGAGGGATAGGATGGGCAGGATCTATGAGGCAGAGGGATTAGAGTGCGCACATGCACAGAAGCACCCAGGGGCATGGAAATGCATGATCAGGCTAGTTCACGAAGAGCTCTGTATGCTGCAGAAAGATGTCTGGATTTTTTCATTTTTTTTATTGTAAATCAGAAGCTATCGTGGACTTTAAAGCAAAGAAATAAACCAGTTCTATTTTAGAGCTTTTCTGGTAATAGACCGAATCTAAGGCAGAGAGATCAATCCAGAGGCTCTTGGACCAGGTTCAAAGCCAGACGAACAGTGAGCACGGAGAGGTGGGGATAGTTCGAGAGCCAGGTAGAGCTGGAGTCAACAGGACTCGGGGACTGAAGGATCCTTGGGGGTGAAAAGAGAGACCTGAAGGATCCCTCCCAAGTCCGTGCCTTATGTGGCTGGTTGAACAGATGCTGGTGCCACGGACTGAAATAGACTGCACTGAGAAGGCCAGAGAAGCGACGAGCTTGGTTTTGGACAGCCTGGGCTAGCTGAAGAAAGTGCTAGCCGAGAGCGCCTAGTCTAAGGAAGCAGGAGTAAGCAAAGGAGCATTTCTGGAAGTCAAGAGAGGATCAGGACCACAGGGAGTCTGTACTGTACCTTGGGACACATTGTAAAAAGGTGTCCTTTCTGAGCAGACCCAATTAGAAAAAGGCAACCTGAGTAGACTCAGCAACACGGCTCCACAAGGAGCCCCAGCTGAATGTCAGCCCACATTCACCCTCCTGGCTGGGCGTCTGTGTGCAGCGCACAGACCGCACACCCGTACCCAGGAGCTTTGGGACTTCTCTGGTCTGGAGGTTGTACCTAACAGCTCAGCCCATTGTTCACCGTGGAAGATGATGCAGGCAACTGGAGGAGGCTGGGGTTTTGGTCAGGGAGCGGAGGCCTAATCAGGACTGAAAGGTTTAGTAATCAGGCCCCTTTTCTAGTGGATTCGGATAATTTCTTTTCTCATCTGTGAAAAGGATTACTATGAATCCTACCTTTCTCCTCAAGGCATTGTATGAGGATTAACGGGGTCTGTGGATGTGAAGTCGCTGAGGCATCCCTGTACCCCCGGTTTCTGGCACCAGCCCTGGCACACAGGAGGTCCCACTCAGTGGTAAAGGAGCGGTTAAGGTTAATGGAAGTGGCGTTTGAGAACAAACTGCGCCGTCTGTATACTTATTATGCATCATGACTAGTGAGAGAATCCAAATAATTAAAAAGCCAAATGACAAGGTTGGGGGTTGGGAGGCCAAGGGACAGAAGATGAAGTCAGAGGTCTCTGCTGTAGCACGGGGGTTCTTAGGACTCAGCCACTTTGGGGTACAGCCGACAGAAGATGAACTTGCCGACAGAAGATGAACTTGGGAGTTAGGACCAAGGAGGGGCAGAGGTGCCTGAGGGGAGAAATCCGACAAGTGGCTCATGTTACGGTGAGGAAAAGAGTAGAGAAGAATGTCATCTCATCTCTAGAGAGAAAGGGACGGGTGATGGGAAGGGCTAGTGATAGAAGTGGTGATTTGGAAAAAGTGGGGAGGTATTATCCAGGATGATGTGGGACTGTAGTGGCGAGAGACAGAGAGACTGTCCCGAAGACTGGGTCCCGAAGCCTATTCTCTCCCCTGACATGTTCAGGAAGTCTGGAGAAAGGCCGAGTGGGAAAAGCAAGGCTTTCTTGAGGGAGCACAGTAGGTGATATGTTCTTGGGACAATCCAGATTTCACTCAGGACAGAGGATGTGCTCTGTCTGGTGTGTCCGTGTGGGTGTCTGAGAGTCTGATGATGAAGAAAATCCTTGCTCTGGCCCAGCTGGGTCAGGCTCAGCCCAGTGACCCCGGACCTTAGGCAGCTTCTGGGGAGGAGGAGCTTCTAGCCACTTAGGTTCCAACTAAAGAAAAAAGCGTCTTTGTGAGTGACAGAGCCCTCCACATCTGGATGACCAGGGCAGCAGCCAAGTGGGCCAGAGCATGGCAGAGCTAGAATCCAGGTAAGACAGACTTAAGGGAGCCCCAGGGAGTCCAGAAACTCAAGACCAGACTTTGCATTTCGTGAAGATCTTTTACTCCCAGCATCTCATTTACTCCTCCCAACGACTCCCTGTGGTAGATGAAGTCATCTGCATATTGCAGATGACAAAATGGGGGGCAGAGAAGTTACTAGAAGAAGCTGGAGCTGTTTACCCAAGCGACATGAATTGATTTTTGCAAGTAGTTGCCTCTTTCATTGTCCGTGGCCTTCAGCTGAAGGCAGCCCAGGCTGACCTCGTGAGCCTGCCTCACACGTTGCCAGCTGTTCTAGTCTCTAAAGGATGTTTCTCTTCCATGCTGGTGGCCAGGTCCCCACCACAGGCTAACCTGAAGTTCCTTCAGGGGACTTGGTCTCCCCTCGCCCTCCCCAGGACCTGGAGCTCTGAGGGCTGTAGGCCCTGACTGTAGCGTGCGTGCACGTGCTTGGCGGGGCGGGGGTGCACGTGCACGTACAGCGTGTGTATGTCTGGGAGGGCCATACAATCTGTCTCTATCCTGTGGGCACGCCAGACACATGGGTATGTATTTGTGTCTCTGTGCGTACTTCTGTGTTCATAAGGAGGATGGGAAAATGAGAATTTCTCATTTCCGTGTGATCTTGCTCCTCTGTTTCTTCCTCCTTCCATGTTTTCTCTTTCCTTTCTCTCTTCCTCTTTTCTTCCATGAGCTTAGGCAATGGAGTCCTCTGGCTCAGGACTTACCACTCAGCTTTGTCAGAGAGCAAGGTCCCTCTGTGGCTGAGACTTTGTAACCTCAGTTACGTGCTCTACAGTCCAAAGTACTTTTCCTGACAGTGGCCGGGGGATGAGGGCGGACAGAATTTGGTGTAGCCCCACTGGAGATTGAGGCTCACCTAAAGTCTGAGACCCTGGGTCTGGGGCCATCATGGCTGGGAGGGCCCAGAGGGCGGCACACAACCATAGACAAGGGTTTGTTTTGGAGGTAAGGTAGAGTTGATTCGGGGGAAACTGAGAAGAAGAATCTGTTGGGAGCAGTCCAGGGGTCAGTCTGTCTGTCTCCTGTTCACAGCATCAGGGGAGAAGAAAGAAGGCTGGTCATGGGAGTCCTACCTCGAGGAGCAGAAGGCTGTCACTGCCCCTGTCAGCCTCTTCCAGGACGTGAGTTGGATAATTTCTACCTGGGAAGAGCTTGTATGCCCAGTCCAGGAACTCACTACCAAACTTAGACCTTCTGGTGTATTGTGTGTCTGATATCCCTCCAAAAAAAAAAACAAAAACAAAACAAAAAAAACTGGCAGAATAGAAGGGGGAGAGGCTGGTCAGGGTCCCAGAATAGAAAAGGGACTCACCGTGAGAGGCTTTCAGGGTAGGAGAAAGTAGGGAGGTGGGACCCAGGCTTGCCCATACTGCACCTGTGGACTCTGCAACCCTCGTACCTTCTACCCAGTTCTGTACGCTCATCTTCTCATGGCTTGGGTAAGGGGAAGCCCTTTAGACCAGCCCTGACTTAGCCCATATTTTTCAGAGGACTCGGGAGCTAGTCTGTCCTCCTTGCACTAAAGATCCCCAAATAAGTTACCCCTTTGGTAATATGAGGCGGGTGGGGCCTAAAGGCAGCTCCTTCACCCCAAGCCCACTAGGCAAGGATAAGGCTGGATGGAGGCTGGGTCCTCCCCAATCTGTGCGTTGACAGTACCAGGCAGTCACTCATAATAAGAATGGCTTCAGACCGGGCATGAAGTTGGAAGGCATCGACCCTCAACACCCGTCCATGTACTTCATCCTCACCGTGGCCGAGGTGAGCTGAGGCAGGCACCCACATTCTGGCGATGTCTCTTTGGGTAGACTGACGGGGACTGCTGGGGGCATGGAGGGCCTGGCTTGGATGAGGGAGACGCTGCCCTGCCCTCAGAAAACACAATCTTTAGGGGCTTATGGTGGAACACACAGAAAGCTAAAAAAGGAACGAACACCAAAGTATTGGGCATGGTGATGTTACTGAATGGTGTGTCCTTCTGTGCAGGGGCGGGGGGCAGCCCGAGGAGGAGAGGGGCTGAGAGCAGGGATGTGTGTGTGTGTCCAACCAAGGTCCTGTCCTCTGGGAGCTTGTGGTGTGGGAATTAGTGAGATAAACACATCAGCAACGTGCGGCACGGGCGGGCAGGGGCAGCAGGGATGGGAGTGGAGCAACAGAGGTTGCACAGGGCAGCACCGAGGGGGGAGAATGGGTTTCATAGAGGAAAGTCCTCCTGCTGAGCCTTGAGGGATAAGTTGTGAATGAGTAGGGTGTTCCTGGCAGAAGTAGCAAAGGAACAAAAGTACTGGGGCATGGACAAGGGTGCCAAGTTCAAGGGGCTGCCATCAGCTTGGTGAGGTCAGAGCAGTGTGTGAGCAGAGAGCAGGGAGGCACGGTAGCAGAAGGCAAGGCTGTCAGCGGCCCTGAACAGGCCTGAGCCTTGGTAGGTGCCCGTGGGGTTCTGTCCAGGGCTCCAAAGGGTAAGAGGATGTCCTAGACTCCGCCTGTCACACCCAGAGCTCAGGGCTCATGAGTACCTGATCTGTCCTCAATGTGGGATGGGAGAGCTCGGGACCACGTTTGGGATGGGGGGAAGAGTGGTGGGGTGGGGAATCTGCTAGCATTTGAGACCCTTGAGACCACCAGCCTGGGCTAGGAGAGGTGAGGGAGAGGGAGTGGGTGTCTGCTGGCGTCAGAGTCCCTGTGATTTCCCCATCCTGGGGCTAGGTGTGTGGCTACCGCCTACGTCTGCACTTTGATGGGTATTCCGAGTGCCATGACTTCTGGATCAATGCCAACTCCCCTGACATTCACCCGGCCGGCTGGTTCGAGAAGACTGGACATAAGCTGCAGCCCCCCAAAGGTAAGGCCTGGCTGAGTTGCTCACAGTGACCTTCCTTTGTTCCCCATCAGTTCCCCCCACAGCTGGCCTTCATGCAATCCCACTGTAACTAGGAGCCCAGGGCTTCTGCTTTGCCCTTGCCCCTCGGGTGTCTACCCAGGTCACATCCCGCCTCAGCAGGGTTTCCCGGGCGGGCTCTTGAGGGTTGGGAGGTCCTTGGGCTTTCCCTATTCTGGTGTTTGGGTGTGGGCCACCCTTGCTGCCGCCCAGCCTCTGTCTGCACGGCCCTCTCTTCTTCCCCCCTGAGGGGCCCAGGTTACAAGGAGGAGGAGTTCAGCTGGGGCCAGTACCTGCGCAGCACACGAGCTCAGGCCGCCCCCAAGCACCTGTTCATGAGCCAGAGCCACGTGAGTGCCCCGGGGCGAGAGTGGACACCACCCTCCGGGACAGAGTCCCTGCCTCAGGCCTGGCTGTCCAGACTCCTCCAGGAGAAAGTGCTCCTACCAGTGCTCTCAGCTTTGTTCTGGTCCCTCCCACCCAGCAGGGGTGGGGGCGCTCTGGGCCGGCCCAGGGCCAGAGGGGGAGCTGGTTATAGGTTCCGCCCCGCTTTCCCCTCCGCCCCACTGCAGAAGCCCTCTCCTCCGAGCACCCCCTTCGAGTCCCTGGCCACCAGCTTGGCCCAGGCCCTGGGACGTCACTGTGCTGGTTTCTTGCTCTGGTTTGCTCTGCAAGTCTTGGTGGTAAGGACCAAGCCTGTGTTCTGGAAGCTGCTTTTTCCTTCCCTTTGACCAATACCTCAGCTCTCCCACTTAGTCCCAACACTCACTCCTTGCCTTCTTCTCTGTTCAAGGCAGCTGGCAGCTTTATCCAGCAGTTAAAGTAGCTCCTGATCCCCAGCCAAAGGTCTGAGAGACTTAAGGAACCCCCGTTAAAGTTGTCACCATATCAAAAGTCCCTGCGGGTCAAAGGATCCCCGTGCCATGCAGACAGGGACCCTTACTCCCCCACCGTGGTCTAGCCCCAGGATCCCAGGTGACTGGGGGCATTCTACCCACTATGAGGACAGGGAATCCAGACTTTTAAGTCAAACTGTTGAAATCCTGGTCCCACCATTGACTAGCACTGTGGTTCTGGGCAAGTTATTTAACTTATGAAATGGGGATGATCGTACCTATCTCCATGGGGTTGTAGTAAAGGTCAACAGGGAGGTGACAGTTTTGGAAGCTTATGCCTGACAGATGCCCTCCCTCCCCTCTCCCCACCTCACGTCAGCTCCGCCCCCCCCCCCCCCCCCCCCCCCCCCCCCCCCCCCCGCCCCCGTGCCCAGTCAGCTGCAGTGCAAGCTTGGCCAGGCTTGCCTGGGGTGGAGAGGCTTGTGCTCACCCTGGCGGACTCTGGGGGAATGTGTAACTTCCTTCCTATCCCTCAGCTTCCAGCTCAGTGAGGCTCTCTGTGAGCACACCTTGGAAAGCAGAAGCTCCTGAGTGGCTCAGGGCTGGGGATTAGGATTCTGCCCTGGAGGGACCCTCTTTCTCAGCCGATTTCTCTCCTGCTCCCCACCCCACCCCAGGGATGACTCCTAGAGAACTTCCTCCTTCCTGGGCCAGGGGGTTCTGGGTTCATGCTAGCCAGCCTGGGGCTGGCCATGGCAGCCCCTCTTCTTGCCCCCAGAGCCCCCCACCCCTGGGCTTCCAGGTGGGCATGAAGCTGGAGGCAGTGGACCGCATGAACCCGTCCCTCGTCTGCGTGGCCAGCGTGACCGACGTGGTGGACAGCCGCTTCCTAGTGCATTTTGACAACTGGGATGATACTTACGACTACTGGTAGTGAGAGGGCCCAGACTTGGCCTTGGGTCGGGGGGGGGGAAGGCTGGAGCCCCAGGAAGGGCTTTCAGACCTTAGGCCCCATGTGGCCCCTGCCTGGTCCTGACATTGATAATTGCTTTGGGGCTCACTGACTGTCCTGTGGCTTTGATCTGTTGTACCCTCAGCAACACAGTGTAATATCAGATGTTTCATCTAAAAATACCAAGGTTAGGATGAGCAAGCTGCTGTGTTTCATGGTTTTCCCTGCGATATTGTGGTTTATTATAGTTTGTAGTTAATGCTGCAGTTTTCTGACCTTTTTTACCAGCCATCTGTATAGCTGTCACCAAGCAGCAAAATGAGGATGGGCACTGAAGCCATGCTGTCCTCATCCTCAGAGTGGCCCTTGGGACAATGAAGTATTCTCGGTTTCAGGTGTGACCCCAGCAGCCCCTACATCCACCCGGTGGGCTGGTGCCAGAAGCAAGGAAAGCCCCTCACCCCTCCACAAGGTGACCCTGCTGCCTGAGAAGATGCCCCCTCCCAGGCCTGGCCCCATAGCCCTCTCCTCCGCCAACCCCTTCTCAGGGCCTCAGTAGCAGGGCCTTTAGGATATGGGTCCTGGAGCCTCATCTTTTTGGCTTGGGAATTGAGAAGTCTTTGATGTCAGGAGAGACCTGTCAACCCCCGATTCTGTTGAGGTTTAAGGAAGAAAGTTAAATGACCCCCCTCCCCAGCCCCAACACGGAAGCAGGAATCTAAAGCAAAGAAAGTTTCCGATGGGTATGGGGCTAGGGCTGGAGCAGCGGGGCTGGGGAGGGGGGAATGGGAGCCAGGGTTCCCAGACAGCCCGGGAACCCACAGTGAACTGTGGGGTGGTGATGTGCTTAGTTCTGGTTAGTGCCCCTCTGCCTCAGGAGCCCCTGCCAGGAGCTGGTTCTGGTGGTGCTGGGGGTGAGGGGGATTGTACCCCTTCTGAGCTCCTGGTCCTGTTTTGGGGAGAGAGAACTCCCCTAGTGTGCAGGGGTGCCTAGACATTGTTCTCATCCTCTCCTCCAGACTACCCAGACCCTGATAGCTTCTGTTGGGAGAAGTATCTGGAAGAAACCAGGGCATCTGCTGTGCCCACCTGGGCCTTCAAGGTGGTGAGTCAGCTCTCTCTGCTCCCAGAGTTGACCTCTGGGAAGGCATGGAACACTCAGCCAGCCCGATGGAAGGCTGCCTCTTTGGCAGGCCACAATTTCCAAGGCACAGCACTTGGCCTCTGTCCTTGGGGCCTCGGCCCCCCTGAGCTGGGCGTTGGCCTGAAGGCTGCTGTCCCCCTGCAGCGGCCCCCACACAGCTTTCTGGTCAACATGAAACTGGAGGCCGTGGACCGCAGGAACCCAGCCCTGGTGCGTGTGGCCAGCGTGGAGGACGTGGAGGACCATCGGATAAAGGTGGCTCTGGGCCCCTCGGATTGGGGAGTGCACAGGCTGTCTGGGCAAGAATTCCGTAGACGGCTTTGCGGTCAAGGGCATGGCAGGAGCCAGACGTAAGGGAGGCTGCATGTTGTAGGGAGGAGAGCTCTATACTCAAGGTTGAAGATCTTGGGTTTCCCTCTGCCCTTGTCCATGAGTGATCTTGATGAGCTGGGACCAGTCCTTTCCCCTCTCTGAGCCTTCCACGTGGGTCTGATGACCCTTGTCCTGTGCCTAGATTGATGGAAGATGCCAGTAACTTTAGAAGGATGCCCTAGGAAAATGTGGTGGCGGAGGCGGGTTACTGTGAGGTTGGCTGCTTGGTCCTTCCAATCCAGGATGTCGCTTCTGACAGGCCTGGGGGACAGAGAGAACCTCCTGGAGCTTGGAGGATCTCCTGGCTGAGCTGGGCTGCATGAGGAACGCCTGACCGCCAACGGCCTTTCCTCCACAGCTCCACTTTGATGGCTGGAGTCACGCCTATGACTTCTGGATTGACGCTGACCACCCAGACATCCACCCTGCAGGCTGGTGCTCCAAGACAGGACATCCCTTGCAGCCTCCTCTCCGTGCGTACGCTTAGGACACTCGGACCCTTTCCTACTAAGAGGTCTGCCCCAACCCCATGAGCTCTGACTGTTCCCCTCCTGTAGAATCCACGGGATTCTGACCATCATTCACAGGTGGGCTCCGGTGCCCACAGTGAGCTCTGGGCCCCCCATCCTCCCTGCCTCAGGGGTCTCTGCTACACTGAGCTGTGCTTCTGGCTTCCCTGGCTGTTGGGTTTAGGCTGCTTCAGTGTGCCTAGGAGGGAGCTCTGCTCCCCGGGGGTTCCCTCAGCACCCAGCAGAGGCACACAGAGCACACATTATGTTTGCTGAGGAAGCTGGGTTCCCTTAAATAAAATTCTGGTCCCTGCAGGTGGCCTGGGAGGTCAGGTCATCGGACCACTTAGCCCCAAGACACATGTGGTGTTGATCCTTCTCGATTTTTCTCCAAATACGAGTAGGGCCTAAAGAAAGTTACCGGAGTCTCAAGAACAAAACAGGGAAGCAAACAGGGTAACATAATTGTGCCTGATGTGGCTTCTAAGCTACTGCTGTGCCCACACCAGCTTGGAGTTGATTTTCTCCCATAGGGATCTCCTCTCATAGACAATGGACATGGCCTGGGGTTTTCACAAAGCGTATGAGAGCCAAGTCCTCATTCCCCAAGGAGGGGCGGCTACTCAGTAGCAGGAAATGATGTCACAGTCTATGTTAGGGCCCCGTAGCTGGGCGCTAGCTCTTAGTGCTGACCTTCCCCAGAGAAAGTGTTCCTTCCCTGCTCTACATCCCCCATCCCACCCCCAGTCGAGGACCTCATGCTAACTCTTTTCTTCCTGCTCCCGCAGGACCCAGAGAGCCCAGCTCTGCCTCCCCCGGGGGCTGTCCCCCTCTCAGCTGTCGGAGCCTGCCACACACTAAGACCTCCAAGTACAGCTTTCACCACCGGTGAGCGAAGGGCTCCTTCACGGAGACCCTCGGGCATTGTTCAGAGAGGGGTCCTCTACACCTCCTCTGTGTGGCCCATCAGGTTCCCCAAAACACTCTCCGTAGGGGGCCAGCCTGAGGAAGGGCTCAGTGGGAACAAGTGGATTCAGCCCAGAGTAAGCCTCCTCCTTCTAACTCTTCCCCAGGAAGTGCCCCACTCCTGGTTGTGATGGTTCCGGACACGTCACAGGCAAGTTCACAGCTCACCATTGCCTCTCGGGCTGCCCGCTGGCTGAGAGGAACCAGAGTCGGCTGAAGGCGGAGTTATCCGACACAGAGGCCTCGGCCCGTAAGAGGAACCTCTCGGGCTTCTCCCTAAGGAAGAAGCCTCGCCATCATGGCCGGTGCGGAGGGCAAGGGTACAGGGCCTCGTGTCCTCTGGGGCCAGGCCAGGCACTGATTCCCTGCCACGGACTGGGTCCCTCTCTCTCCAGGATTGGACGCCCTCCTAAATACCGGAAGATCCCACAGGAAGATTTCCCAAGTAAGTCCTGAGTCCTCTACTGCCATGCCCTCCACACCGTGTTCACAGTGAGTGCTTAGTGATTGCTGGGATGAGTCACCAGGGGACCCAAAGGGGACAAGTGGAAGGGAGGCCGCCTCTTCCTTTCAGGCCCTTGCAGAGCACAGAGCAGAGGCGAGAGCTCAGGAGTCCCTTCAGGTTCCAGCCCCACTTCACTGGAGACTCTGTTGTGAGTCTCTGAGCCTCAGGCTCCCCACTGTGCAGCAGGAGGAGGCCCCCAGCTCTGCTCCTTCTGGGAGGGAGGCCTGGCTTGCACTGTCTAGCTGCATGACCCTAAGCAAGTCACTTAATATCTCCGAGTCTTAGTCTCATTTGAAGACATGACTAATACTTCTTTCGGGTATCAAGTACCTAGAATAACTACTTACTTACTTACTTACTTACTGAGTACCTACTGTGGGCCCAGCACTGTCACAGGCACTCTACATACACGGTCGCTGACCCTCACAGGCATCCTATAACGTGGACACCATTCTCTTCTGCTGAGAGAAGAGGACTGGGAGGCTCAGAGGGCGAAGTCACTCGACTTGTAAGGGGTAGAGCTGGGATTCAGACTCGGGTCTGACTTCTGCCCTGTGCCGCTGGTGTAACAGAGTGGAAGCACCTAGCCAGATGTCAGTTACCCCTCCAGCTCCTTTGTCTTAGCTTGGGTGCCACGACCAAGTACCACAGACTTGGCCACTTAACCCACAGAAATTTATTTTCTCACACTTCCAGAGGCTCAAAGTCCCAGATCAGGGTATCCACAGGGTTGGTTTCTTCTGAGACCTTGCTCCTGGCTCGCACATGGCCACTTTCTCGCCATGTCCTCCCGCAATCTACCCCCTGTGCGTGTGTGCTCCCGGTGTCTCTGCGCATGTCCAAAATTGCTCTGCTTGTCAGGACACCAGATTGGATGAGAGCCCACTCTGATGGCCTCGTTTGAACTTAGTCATCTACTGAAAGACCCTGTCTCCCAGTACAGCTGACCCTTGAACAAAGGGGTTTGAACTGTGTGTGTCCACTTACATGTGAATTTTTTGTAGCATGTACTGCCAACGTATTTTCTTTGGGATTTTCTTAATAACGTTTTCTTGTCTAGCTTCCTTTATTGAAAGAATACAGTATATAATCCATATAACATAGAAAACCTATGGTAATTGTATATGACATTGGTAAGGCTCCCAGTCAACAGTGGGATGTTAGCAGCGAAGTTCTGGGGGATGTCAAAGTTCTACGTGGACTTGACCGCATGGTCAAGGATTAACTGTATAGTCCCATTCAGGGGCATTGGGGGTTAGGTCTTCACCATGTGAATTTGGGGGGAACACAGTGAACCTCATGGCATGTTCCAAAGGGAGGGTCAGGGTGACGGAGCCTCCCATTGGGTGACAGATTGACCTCACGGCTTCAGGCACTGGCACAGGGCCTGACACACAGCAGGCGTGCTGGCGATCTCACCTCAGTCGAGTGGAATGCCCTTGTCTTTGAGGCCAGAAGAGCGGGTGGGAGAGCACTTAAGCACTTAAGCTATTCCGGTTCTTCAGGAACAGTCTCTGCAACCTGGGCGGTATCTAGGATGGTGGTTAAAAGCACAGCCCTGGAGCCAGATGGCCTTTTATGGGCTGTGAGACCTCGGGCGGGTAGACCCCCTCTCTGAGCCTCTGCTGGCTCATTTGTGCAATGCTGATAATACGCCCACCTCAGAAGGCAGTTGGGCGCTTAAATGAAGAGGTCAAGTAAAGGGCTTAACACCAGTCCCTACTGGTATTATTAGCCCTGAGTGTGGCTGACCTCCTCGTGCTGCCAGTCCATACTCTTCTTGGTGGAAGCAGAAGGCACGTCCTGCAGCTTCGGGCTTGAGTGAGGAGGGGCTTGGCCAGCCTCTCAGGCCCCCAGGGTGAGGACTTCTGGGGATGGGACTGTAGTGGGCACCTTTTCTACCCTCTCTGGGACGGACACCTGGCCAGCTTGCCGTCCAGAGCCATGTTCTGACCACCAGAGGGCGTGTGCCTGTGTGTTCATTCCAGAAGTATCCTGAGAACTTAAGTCTTTTCAGAGACTGAGGCTGCAGCCCAGAGAGGGTGAAGAAGGGCTTATCCAATAATATAATAATAACAACAACAACAATAATAATGCTATGGACTAAATGTTTGTGTCCCCCCACAAATTCATATGTGAAACTGAATCCCCAGTGTGACGGTATTAGGAGGTGGGGCCTTGGGGAGGTGATTAGGTCATAGGGGTGGAGCCCTCATGAATGAGATCCGGGCCTTTATAAAAGAGACTTCAGAGGCTCCAGTGCTCCTTCTGCCAAGTGAGACCCCGTGAGAAGTTGGCAATCTGTTAGCCGGGAAGTGGGCCTTCACCGTATACCAAATCTGCTGGTGCCTTGATCTTGGACTTCCCAGCTGCCATGACTGTCAGGAATACGTTTCCGTTGTTTATAAGGCCAAAAAAAAAAAAAAACCCCAAAACAAAAAACAAACCTTAGCAGGTTCTGGCCGGCCCCAAGTCAGTTTGCAGTTCGATAAGACACCCCGACTGCGTGTGAGAGCTCCTGTCCCGTGCTCTGGGGGAGAAAGATAAGGAACAAAGCTCCCTATAGCCTCGTGGCCTTGTCCCCCAAGACTCCTCCACCTGTACATGGAGAACCAGAAACAGGACCTCAAAGGCAGAAGGCCAGACCTGTGGCCAGGAGACAAAGCGCTGGGGCGGAAGCAGGCAGGGGAGAGGCTGCCGGGGCCGCAGGTGGGCGCTGAGAGCTGGCTGAGCAGTGCACGGTGGCAGCTTCCTTGTGGTGCCCAAGGCGGGGCCCTCTGGGGCCAGTAAGCAGGGATGGCAGAGAATGGCACATGGGGCTGCCGATAGGATCCCAGAGGCTTGGAGGGTGGCTGCGAAGTGCAGAGTTGAGGTGAAAGGCTGAAGCTTAGGAGCCGAAGGGCCAGGGAAGGACAGTCTGTGACGAGCAGGGGAGGCCCCATGAGAAGGGCTGGTGGCGAGCTGCAGCCGCGTGTCCAGAACCAATGCCCCGTGAACAGGAAAGAGGCAGCTCTCTTGGACTGTTAGAGGCAGGGCAAGCCCCTTGGGACAGTGACCGCGTGGCTCCAGGCCTGCCGAGGCTAGTGAGGGAGGCAGGGGCCAGGCTTGTCAGAGCAGCCAAAGGCAACTGAAGTCCAGGCAGACGGGCGCCAGGCCTGGCCCAGAAGGAGGCCCAGCAGAGCGGCGTCCCACAGGAGACCCTGTAGCAGCCGAGGCTGAAGGCCAGGAGCCGGGACTGCAGGCAGAGTGGCAGGTGGCAGGTAGCGTGGAGGTGGCGAGCAGGTCCGCACAGGCAGCGGGCAAACTGGACCAGGTCGGGTGAGCACAGGGGAGAGGACGGGAGCCGGGGGCAGTGGCTTCCAGGCCGGGTTCCCGCCCAGAATCCCCCTGGCCCCCCGCTGGTGGGTCGGGGCCCCGAAGGTCTCAGGAAGAGGAGGGCAAACCGAATGGGCTTCTGCTGCCAGGGCTGAGCTCCTTGGCGGGTGGAGGCCGTTCTGCTGCGGGGCATCTAGAGAACAGTCAGGAATGCTACAGCATCTCCTCGTGGGGCCCAGGGCGATGTAGCCTCAGAGAGAGGGGGCTGGAGTCACTCCTGACAGCTGAGCCCCAGAAGTCTGTGAAGCAAGGGCCTTACCTGACCAGGGGGAGCGAGCAGTGCGTGAGGGCTCCCATCGCCCTCCCTCTTGGCTCTGCAAGACTCTCAGAAAGGGGCTGCGGTCCTCCCAATGGGTGTGGGTACGAGCGGGCCCTGGGGACCAGCTTTGTCCTCAGAGTCAGCCTGCCGGCCTCCGCCTGCAGCGCTAGCCGCGGACGCCATGCACCAGTCCCTCTTCATGTCAGCCCTGTCGGCCCACCCGGACCGCTCGCTGTCCGTGTGCTGGGAGCAGCACTGCAAGCTCCTGCCAGGAGTGGCGGGCATCTCGGCCTCCGCGGTTGCCAAGTGGACCATTGATGAGGTGAGAGCGAGGACCCATCCCCGTTCCTCTCCCCTACTTTGCCCTCCTCCCCACAGCCCGGCGGGAGGGCTCAGGAAAGGCCCCTGGCAGGCAGAGGCGGACTCGGCTCCTGGTAGCATCTGCTGCTCCTGTCTCCTGTCCGTGGTCCCTCTGGGTGGGTGCCTGGCAGGGGCCGAGCGATGGTTCAGCAGGCCTCCCCTGGCGGGTGGGGGCGGCCCGTGCTGCTAGTCCCCATGCAAGTCCGGTGGGAGAGACGCTTCCCCTGGGCCCCGGCTCGCTCACCCAGCAGCAGGGACACAAACATCCTCGCAGGCTAATAAGGAAAAATGTCACTGTCAAAGCCCCAAGAGCAGCCAGTGCACGTGGGCCCGCCTTCCCCTTGTGCTCCCAGGCCCCCACCCCCTTGGCAACAGGTGCTTCTCTGGTTTCCAAGGTCTTCAGCTTCGTTCAGACCCTGACCGGCTGCGAGGACCAGGCACGACTCTTCAAAGATGAGGTGAGGTACAAGTGCAGAGTGGGGGCAGAAGGGTCAGTCACTGAGGCGACAGGGAGCAGATGCCCTCAGCAGCGCTGCCCCCTGCCAGGGAGCGCCCTCTGTTGTCCTGCCTGTGGGAGACTGGTCACAGTGACCCACGTCTCTGGGAAAAATCCAGTACGGACCGTGGCCCAGCTTGCAAACCCTCTGTGTTCAGATCACCTCAGGAAGGAGAATGCCTCTCGGAGACGGGGCTCCATTCGCTCCTCTGCTCTCCGTTCGGCCTGTCTTCCAAACCCATCTCACTAGGGACAGTAAGTTCAAGTGGGTCCTGAAAGGCATAGGTCTGCCTCTTACTGCCAGCGTCCTAACACATACGTAGTACCGAGACCCGAAAGCTTACCAAGGACAAGAAGCAGTGAGTCGTACATAAAAGAACCGTAGCTTTACAGACAGGGTGGGTGTGAATCCCAGTTCTGCCAGTTCGAGCCCTATACTGTGTGTGAGTCTGCATCTTCTTATCTATAAAATGAGTTAAAACAGGGATAATGAGGGCCATAACGGTGACAACCTTGCAGGGCTGTCCTGAGCAATGGCAATGACGAATGGATCATGATACCAGAATGTCTAGTATAATTATATCGCTAGCCTGCTATAGAGTAATACACAAATCCTATCACTATAACAGAATGCCTGGTACTGGGGTGGGGGTGGGGGGCTCAGTGGTGGTTTTAACTCTGAATAGTCGTCCTTAAGTCCTCAAGTGAAGAGTTTTATCGTGACTCTCCAAAGTCACACAGTTTGAAACTGGAAGGGTAGCTTGGAGTTTGTTTAGATCTCCCCTCCCAAGAATACACGTGTCCATCCCCCTTCATCCAGGAAAGCGTAGTCTCAGCTTCCCATAAATGGGAAAGGCGCCCATAGGAAAGAAGTCTGTTCCTCTTCCCTGAGAAGACTCATTCCCTCCAGACCCAGCACAGCCGGTTCTTCATAGTAACCTCGTGCGGGGGAGCCCACCGATGCCACCCCACTCCGGGTGCTTGCCTCCTGGGCTGGTGGTCTTACTCTGACATATGTGTTCAGGGCTGTACCCCGGTTTCAGATGCTTTCTGACCAGCACAGAACACGCCGGTTGAGTTCTCCCATACGTGCTTTCTGGTTTTGTTTTTAAAAGGGCTTTATCTTTACAGAGCAGTTTTAGATTGACAGCAAAATGGAGAGGAAAGTACAGAGATTCCCCATCCAACCCCCACCCTGACACCCCCACCCGCCACCAGGCACAGCCTGCCCCCCGCACCTTATCAGCTGCGCTCACCACAGGGGCACACTTGTTAGAATCGTTGAACCAACACCCAGATGTTTTTTAATGGAGTTAAAAATGTACATGGAACAAAATCCATGCACCTTAGAAGTACAGTTCCGCGAGTTTTGTGAGACGAACGCACCTGAACCCAGCACTTCAGCCAAGATCTAGAACGTTCCCATCATACCAGGGAGTTCTTACAGAGGTCTTTCTTGGCCCCTTTGTCAGTCCCCGCCCTCATCAGCGGCCACTGTTCTAATTTCTAGCACCGTAAGTTAGTTATACCTGTTCTCAGATGTCACATAAAAGGGGGTGCAGCTTTTATCCTTTGGTGTCTGTCTCTTTTCACTCAGTGTGACGTTTCTCAGGCTCATCTGTGTTATCGTGTATACCAGTGGTCTGTCCATTCATATTGCTGAGTTCTGCTCCATTTTATGAAGAGCCCATGCTTCTCCCGTTACTGGATATTTGGGTTGTTTTCTCTTCCCCTAGATGCAAACCCTATATAATTTTTCTTTTCTTTTCTTTTTCTTTTTTTTTTTTTAAGCAAAAATTAAGTTTGCACTAGCTTCATTATAGCCACATCAGACTAGCTTGGAGGTCACGAAAGTCCCCAAGTGCCTTTTATTATATCAATTATCCATTATAATCTAACCACATTTTCCAGTTTGTTACTTGTACCACTGTTCTTTTTTTTATTAACCTAATGTAAAACTTTACATTTATCCCTATTAAATGTTATTTTGTTGGTTTCATAGTCTCATTGTTTTAAATCTTGATCCTGTCATCTCTAATACCAGTAAGCCTTTCCAGTCTCATACACCTTGTTATTTGGTAACTCGGCCACACCTTTACCACACCTGTTTCACGAGATAGAAGCATGTGGCACCGGTTAGAGGTCTCCCTCTGTGACGACAGTCATAACTCCTTGCTGAATACAGTCATTCAGCCAGCCACAGAGCCACACAAAAGTTAGGTGCTGCAGCATCCTCCCCTTGTCAGAAGAAGGGCTCTCTCCCACCCTGAGCACCTGCTGCGTGTCTCAGTTCGGCATGGTCTGGGATACAAAAGCAGTGGCCAGAAGGGGCAAAGGGTGGACCGCCAGCATCAGATGGAGTCTCAGTGGGGAGCAGGACGCCTGTGAGGGCTGAAGATGACCCTTCCCAGGATCTGGTCCGTGGCATCACCTCCCCCAGGATCTGGACCACGCTCCAGGGAGTGGCCGTGGTTGGGCTGAAATGGTACACTCAGACACACACAACGTCAAGATTCTCTCTGGCTGGGACACAGACCAGTCATTAGAGTGAGAAATTAGGGCAAAGCAGACTGACGGTCTCATAGGTAGTCAGTCTGTCCAGTCTGGCGGTTGGCCCAGCCCAGATTCAGACTAAATTACTCTCCCGTCCTCTCTCCCCACAACCCCCCAGCAAGAATAGCTCATAGGTGACACCGTGTACATCCCACTGCATCCCCTGTCCATGCCCCCTGTGTCTGCGTGTTGACCTGCCAGCAGCAGGGACACTAACCTGGGGCTTTGCGGGGGAAGCGCAACAGCCCTGCTTTGAGGCCACTGGCTGGGAGGACTCAGAAGACGTTATGCACACACATACTGACCTCAGACCAGGCAGCAGAAAGAAAGAGAAAGAGTATGTGTGTGAACATGGGGGAGCCAATGGAGATCTCTGTCCTTCTCTGTCCCCATCGCTATCTTCCTTTTTTCCTTTCTCCCTCCCTCGTTTCTCCTTTTCCTTCCTCTTCCCATCTCTATTCTCCTCCCCGTCCCCCCCCACATCCTTGACTCCGATTCTCTTTCTCCCCTGCCCACTCCCTACACATACCCCACCCACCTCTCCGTCACTCCTTCCCACGGCCCTCTCCACCTTCTCCGCTTTCCACCTCCCTCCCCCAACCCCTCAGATGATTGACGGCGAGGCCTTCCTTTTGCTGACACAGGCGGACATTGTGAAGATCATGAGCGTCAAGCTGGGTCCGGCCTTGAAGATCTATAACGCCATTCTCATGTTCAAAAACGCCGATGACACCTTAAAGTGAGTGGCTGTGGGCTGGGCTCACCTCCAGCCCAAGCTGGGCCTCCCTCCGCAGCCGATGCTTCCTTCCCAACTCGAGTTCCTCATATCCCACCCACACCCCCACCACCCTCTACGTCTTACCAGGGGTTGGTGCTCCTTCTCTCTGGGGCTGCTTTCTACAAGGTACATGGGAATCCTAGCCCCCAAGTCCTGGGGTTCATCTGCCAGCAGGCACACCAGTGAGGGTGTGACTGGGCTGGGGGAACATTACCGGTGGAGTAGACCGGAGGGGCCCTGCCTCTGGCCGCCTCACATCTCTAGCTGACTTGTGTGATCACCAAAGGGTCTTTATCTTAGCGGTTAAGGACAATCTGGTAGAAGGGGAATCCTCGGGTCAGAGGCTCATTTCTCTTGGGCCTCTCTCCATGCTTTTCTTGCCTTGGCTCCAGCCAGGAAGTGACTCAGCCACGAACATATGTTCTTGCTCTGCTGTCTGGTTTCCTGGGCAGGGCCCACCCAGACCCCACTGGCTCTTCCCACATGGATGGGTGAGCTTCGGAAACAGGTTGTCATAGGATCCACTGGGCGTCTCTGGCTGCTTTTCTCGGGACGCCAAGCCCAGATGCCTTCCTGAGCATGCTGTTCTGGATAAGCTGGCATTCTGGTGGCCCACGCCAAGCCCTGTTTCCAGCAGAGTGGATGGTTAGGACCTGTTTCACCTGTGCGGAAGAGGTTAAGGCTCCACATGTGTTCCCCATATACCCTTCCTGTATCAGGTGTGGGAAAGAGGCAGCACAAGGGTATGTCAGACAATCGTCAGACAATCTCGGGTCTTTGCTCCCCAGAGGGGCATCTCCAGCAGGTATGATGGTCCTCGAAGCTGGGCCTACCTTCCCTGCAGGCATGGATCTCAGCCAGGGTATTGGCCCTGGGGTGAGGACCCCATGCCTGCCAGGCCTCCTGCCGTGGGGATGTGCCGCTTGGTCTAGCACGCATACCTCACAACATCACATTCGACCTATCCCGTCAATGTCTTGCTCTTGAGGTCTTACAAAGCCCGCTTGAAGTTGGGAGTTGGGAAGGTGAATTCTTCTGTCTTTGAATTCTCTGTGTTCCGTAAGCTTTTCTTACCACTCTCCCATCTGTCTTGCACTGCCAGCTGGGTGCCTGCCGGGGCTCGGGGACTTCAACCTTTCTGTCCAAGTGGGGGCGGAGCCTCCACCGAGCCACTGCCAAACCAGCCAGGGTGGGGCTGGGGCAGAGGGCCCGGAGCAGCTGGCCCTACAGGGAGGTGAGGGGCAACCGCCAAGCTCCCGTGGCCCCAGGTGCTGCGATGGGCCTGCAGGGTGCGGAGCCAGACCCCTTCCCTCAGTCACGTGGTATGTGTGTGCACATCAGCGCCCCCCCAGAAGTGTTTGACAGGTGCATCTGTGAGGCTCAGTGTTGGGAAAATGTCAAGGGCTATTATTGTTAAAATATGAAGCTTTATCTTTCCCATAGAAGTGGGACACCCAAAGCTCTGTTGATTTCCTGCCGCAGCCCAGTAGGGGACTCTCCCTCCTGTGGGCCCAGACAGCTCTGGGCTGGGGCAGCCATTCAGCCGCCCCGCTGAACTCCCACAGGACTTCTGATGTTCCTGCCCTTTTGGCCCTTAGAGGCAGCTCTGAGCACAGCCTTCCTGGGAAGAAAGTGGGTAGGCCCTGCCTCTGGCTGAGGCTCAGGCTCACAGAGGTTGCATTGGTGCCCCCTTGGCCAAGAGGCAGGAGGGGCCAGTTCGAGCCTCTCTCCCTTGGTTCGCTTGGGTGGTGGCAGAACTCTCTAGCAACTTGGCCTGGTCGGCTCCTCTATGAAACTGAGGAGAAACTGGCTTTGTGGTGTAAGGAGAAGGCAGCAAGGATGCATGGCTGTGCTGTGGGAGCTCCCCACTCCCGAGGAGCAGGACTGGGACAGCTCTGCCACGCGGATCTGCCGGCCACACTCCCAGTGCTTGCCGACGGGAGAGGCAGGCTGGACTACCAACGGGCCTTGAGGAGAGGGGCCCCAGGCCTCCGAACTTGGAGACCTCAGCAACTTTCTGCACCAACGTCAAACTCTTCAGAAAGAAACCGTAAGAAAGGGGGAAAGCAGTCGGCCCTCCGGCCCCATTCACCCACATCTTGTCCCTAGAGGAGATCCTCCCACATTGATGGGGATGCAGGTGAAGGGAGGGCGTCAGCGCCAGCACCCTGCTCTGGGCAGCAGACACGGCTCACACTTTGGCCCCCAACAGCTGCACCCAGCCCCCGGCCCAGCCCTGGCTTAGGTCAGTGAGGACCTTTCTGTTTAATTTCTGAAGCAGAGAGAACAAACCCAGAGTTTGAAAACGAAGCCTGTTTGCACTTTCATTCACATGCACTTTGGTGGGATTGTTTTTGTACTTTCCGTATGTGTGTGTGTGTGCACGCGTGTGCGTGTGTGTGTGTGTGTTCTTTAAGAGCATCTTCTGGTTTAAGATAAAGTGACTCTTGGCTCTTGAGGGAGAAAAATTTACAAACTGTGGTGTGTTGTCAGTGTATTGAAACAACATAAATAAACTTTGAACATCTGGGTGATATACAGTCAAAGTCTGTTTCTACTTTCACGGTAAAACATCCAGAAAACACAAAATGAATATCAATAGTGCCATTATTGAAGAGAATAAAGCATTCCCTTTATTGTTAGGGGGCCCTTATTCTATTTTAAAGATAAGAAACAAAGGGTAAAGATAAACCCATCTACTTGTCTACACAGAGAAATGTAAACAATGGGAACCCCCAGAAACAGTGGACAGGGGTGGAAAATTCAGCAAAGCCCTACAGTTTTTAAAATAACATCAAACTGGGACTCCTGGGTGGCTCAGTCATTAAGCGTCTGCCTTCGGCTCAGGTCAAGATCCCAGGGTCCTGGGACCGAGTCCCACTTCGCTTCCGGCTCCCTGCTGAGCGGGGGTCTGCTTCTCCCTCTGCTTGCCGCTCCTCTGGCTTGTGTGTGCGCGCATTCTCTCTCTCTCTCTCTCTCTCTCTCTGATAGATAAATAAATAAATGAAATCTTTTAAAAAAAGGTAACATCAAACTTTCAGGTGGAAAATGTCAAACTAAACCCTCAAACTTCATTAAGTTTCCCAGAGACTGTGAGCAAACAAAAGTGACAGAAATGCCCTGTCCAATCCCATCAACCCCTTTGTTGTCAATATCCTTAATTTCTTGGCCCCGCTGCTCTTCCAGACTGCTCAGTGAGAACACCAACCACAGAGCTGTCTGCGCCCATCTTCTCCACACCTTTACCGGGAGCTAATCTGACTAAGGCCCCTGGTGCCATGGTTGACTGATGGTCTCCAGCTTCAGTGTGGACCCTCAGGGCTGCCCAGGAAGCAGCTGGGTTTTTGAAGGGTTTGCCTTTGATTTCCCTTTTCACTGTCTTCAAACCTCCTGCCCTGTTAACTTCCCTGTTGTCTCAATATATGTGCTCATCGTCTATATCACAGAGAAAATTGAAGTCATTAGAAGGAATACCCCCACCTTCCTGCCACCTCATCTGCCAGTCTCCTCCCACCCATATTCATCCTTCCTTCTTCCCTACTCATCACAGTAGAAGAACTGATCCTTCCACTTATGAAGTTATCCCTCTACCAGCCATGGCTGCTATCATAGAAAAAGAAACGTTGAGAGGCGAGAAAGGACTTTGGGAAATTTAAAACTGATTGCAGGGATGATTCAACACACGGGTTGAAAGATAAAGTTGATAGTGCCCAGAAAGTAGAAGAAAAAGACAAGGGGGCACCTGGGTGGCTCAGTTGGTTAAGCAACTGCCTTTGGCTCAGGTCATGATTTTGGAGTCCCAGGATCGAGTTCCACATCGGGCTGCCTACTCGATGGGGAGTCTGCTTCTCCCTCTGGTCCTCCCCCTTCTCATGCTCTCTCTCTCTCAAATAAATAAATAAAATCTTGAAAAAAAAAAGAAAAAGACAAGGAAAGAAAAAGGGGAAAGAATTTTAAGAATTAGAGGACTAGCTGGAGGTCCAATATACAACTAACAGAAATGCCAATAAGAGGAACAGAGAGGGGCACCTGGGTGGCTCAGTGGGTTGAGCTTCTGCCTTCGGCTCAGGTCGTGATCTCAGGGTCATGGGATCAAGCCCTGCGTCGGGCTCTCTGCTCGGCGGGGAGCCTGTTTCCCCCTTTCTCTCTGCCCCCTTGTGATCTCTTTCTGTCATATGAATTAATAAAACCTTTAAAAAAAAAAAGAGGAACAGAGAAATTACATTTTTTTTAAACTTTTTTTTTTTTAAGTAACTTTCACAGAGTTGAAAGATAGTAGTGGCCTAACTAAAACGTTACACTGAATGCCCAACACAATGGATGTAAAAGGAATGACACTAAGCTACATTAGTGCAAAATATCAGAATAATGAGAACGAAGAAGATTTAAAAGCTTTTGAGGAAATAAGACAGGTCTCATTCAAAGGAACATGAATCAATAACATCGAACCCAGTGGCAATGCTGGAAGCAAGGAAGTGGAGCAACGTCTGCACAATTCCAAAGGAAAGTTATTTCCTCCCTAGAGTTCTGTACCCAGCCAAGTTGTCAGTCAAATGTGAAGGCATACAAAGTTTCAAACTTTTATCTCCTGTAAACCTTTCCTCAGAAACCCCCTGGCGGAATGCTCCATCAAAGTGAGAATATAAGGGTCCTGGGATAGAGTTCTTCCTGGGCTCCCTGCTTAAAGGGGCGTCTCCTTATCCCTCTCTCCTTCCCGCCGTTCATGCTAGCTTGCCTGCTCTCTCGCAAAATAAATACAGTCTTTTTTAAAAGACGTTTTTATTTATTTGACAGATAGAGAACACAAGCAGGCAGAGCGGCAGGCAGAGGGAAAGGAAGAAGCAAGCTCTGCGCTCAGCAGACAGCCTGATGCTGGGCTCGATCCCAGGACGGTAGGATCATGACCCGAGCCAAAGGCAGACGCTTAACTGACTGAGCCACCCAGGTATCCCAAATGAAATCTTTTTTTTTAAAATGAGAGAGTAGGGCGCCTGGGTGGCTCAGTAGGTTGAGCCTCTGCTTTTGGCTCAGGTCATGATCTCAGGGTCCTGGGATCCAGCCCCGCATCAGGCTCTCTGCTCGGCGGGGAGCCTGCTTCCCCCCCCACCCGTCTGCCTCTCTGCCTACTTGTGATCTCTCTCTCTGTCAAATAAATAAATAAAATCTTTAAAAAATAAAAATTAAAAAAATAAAATAAAAATGAAAGAATAAGTCCAAAAAAGAGATAGATTCCAAAAATGCAAGGGTAGTTCAAGTCTATGTAATCACCAGTCTATGTAAAACACCACATAACTAGAATGAAAGGGGAAAAAAACATGGTCATCTCAATTGATGCAGGAAAGGCACTAATGAAAACCCAACACCATTTCACAGTTAAAACAGAAAACTGGGGGATAGAAGGGAACTTTCTCAACATGATCAAAGGCATCTACAAAAAACACCACAGCTAATATCATACTCAATGGTGAAAGCCTTTTTTCCTAAGATTAGAACAAGACATGGAAACCCACTTTCACCACTGCTTTTCCGTATTGTACTAGAAGTTCTCACCAGAGCAATTAGAGAAGAGAAATGAAGGGTGCCTTGTGGCTCAGTCAGTTAAAGCCTCTGCCTTCTGCTGAGGTCATGATCTCAGGGTCCTGGGATCGAGTCCTGCATCAGGCTCTATGCTCAGCAGGGAGCCTGCTCCCCCTGCCCTCTGCCTGCCTCTCTGCCTACTTGTGATCTCTGTCTGTCAAATAAATAAATAAAAATCTTTAAAAAAAAAAAGAGGGAAATAAATAAAGGGCACCTAAATTGGAATGGAATAAGTAAAACTATTTTTATTCATGGATGACATGATCTTATATACCAAAAAATCAACAAGCAATCTGCTCAAGCTAAAAATTTAAGCAAAGGTGCAGGGTATAAGATTAACACACAAAAATCAAGTCACTCATGTTTCTATAACAAACAATCCAAAAAGGAAAGGAAGAAAGAAATTCCCCTTGCAACAGCATCTAAAGGAATAAAATACCTAGGAATAAATTTAAAAGAGGTGAAAGCCTTATATACTAAAAGCTACAAACCATTGCTGAAAGAAATTGAAGAAGACCTAATTAAATGGAAAGACATCTGTGCTCATATTTAGGAAGACTTAAGATTGTTAACATGTCACCACTACCCGAAGTGACCAACAGGTTCAAACCCTATCAAAATGCCAATGGCCTTTATTGTAGGAATGGAAAAGCCAAACCTCATATCCATGTGGAATGGCAAGAGGACCCTAAAGGCCAAAACAATCTTGAAAAAGAACAAAGTAGGAGGACTCTGATTTTCTGATTTCAAAACTTGCTGCAAATATAAAGTAATCAAGACAGTGTGATACTGGCATAAGGACAGACATAGAGACCAACTGGAGAGAACTGAGAGTACAAAAATAACCCCAAACATCTACAGCCAATTGATTTTTCTAAAAGATTATTTATTTATTTATTTATTTATTTATTTATTTATTTATTTGACAGAGAGAGATCACAAGTAGCAGAGAGGCAGGCAGAGGGAGAGGAAAGGAAGCAGGCTCCCCGCCGAGCAGGGAGCCCAATGTGTGGTTGGATCCCAGGACCCTGGGATCATGACCCAAGCCAAAGGCAGAGGCTTTAACCCACTGAGCCACCCAGGCGCCCCTACGGCCAACTGATTTTTGAAAAGAGTGTTCATTCATTCAATGGGGAAAGAACAGTCTCTCCATCAGAGGGTGTTGGGACAACTGGATCTCCACACGTGAAAAACACACAGTTAGATGCCTACCTTATACCATATAAAAAATGGATCTCAAATGGGTCAACGACCTAAATATAGGAGCTAAGACCATAAAATCTTTAAAATAAAACCCAGAGGTAAATCTTTATGATTTCAGAATTGACAGTAAGGTCTAGATGTGACACCAAAAGCACAAGCAACAAAAGAAGAAACAGTTGAAGTTCATCAAAATGAAAAATTTCTGTGCGTCAAAGGACTTTGTCAAGAAAGTGAAAAGACAACCTATAGAACAGGAGGAAATACTCACAAATTGTCCATCTGTCAAGGGTTCAATATCCAGAATATATAGATAACCCCTTAAACTAAACAACAAAAAGACAAACGACCCAAATAAAAAATGAGCAGAGGTCTTGCCTAGACCTTTCTCCAAAGATGTGCAAATGCCAACAAACACATGAAGAGATGCTCAACCGCTTTGTCATTAGAGAAATGCCCATCAAAACCACCATGAGCTACCACTTCACACCCACCAGGATGACTGTCATCACAAAACTGGAAAATAATAACTATTGGCAAGGGTGTGGGGAAACCATTGGTTGGGATGTACTAGGTTGGAAAACAGGTTGGCTGCTTGAGGACGGGGTTGCTTTCTCAAAAAGCTAAACCTAGAATTATCACATTACTCAGAAATTCCACTCCTAAGGAGATACCTGAAAGATCTGAAAACAGATACTTGTTGCCAGT